CCCATAGATTTCTTGAGCTAAATAGAGCTCCTCAATGCAAGTGAGGAAGTTTTGTGAGTGACCAGATCAAGCTGAGTGCTCATCCCACGAGATCTCTGGATAGCTGAAATCACCCATGACAACCATGCTCCAAGAGCGTGCAGCCTCTGACAGTTCTCAAGAGAATTTCCAGGCGAGCTCTTCCTCTTGGTTTGCAGGTCTGTAGTAAACTCCTATGGTTAAATTCCCTTTCCCATGCTCTCCCCGTATCTTGACCCAGAAAGTTTCAAGTCACCCTTCCTTGTTTCCAATCTTCACTTCTAGGGAGGGGTAATGTTCCTTCACATAGAAAGCAACTCTTCCACCCTTCTTTCCAATATGATCCTTCCTATACAGGGTGTATCTCCCTATGCCTGTGGTCCAGTCATAGGTGGAGTCCCATCAGGTCTCTGTAAGAGGTCATATTGGTTGTTGGTTAGCAGGGCCAGTTCCTCCTGCTTGTTTCCTATGTTTCTGGCATTAGTGTACAGGCAATTAAACCTGCCATTGGAGGCCTTGGGCTTCCTGAGTTGTGGAATAACCTGTCCATTGGCCAGTGTCAGAGTATGTTTTCTAGTGTACTGTGGGGTGGTGGTTTCAAAGTTGCCATCCCTCGAGCTTGTGCTAGTAGTTGATAGCCCATCCCCCAGTGATCTGTTTAAAGCCCTATCCAGTAGGTCTGCCATTCTAGCCCAGAAGAGCTTTTTCTCAGTGTGAGGAGATTAGTGAGGTTTGAGGAGATAGCAAATAAGGTAAGTAGATAAGCCAGGGTCAGGTTTGTCCCTGCCTGGATGATCCCCCACCCCTACTGCCCAGCCCTTGTGTAAGGAGGTAAGCACTGTAATATATATATTTTTTTTTAATTGGTGCCACTCAATTCACAAAATTTATGGAGGGGTGCTTGAAGTCCAATGAGGAGTGCCTGGAGTCCAGTAAGGGGTGATTTGCATAAGCTGAATAATAAAAAAATAGCCAAAAAACATTAGTTGGAATTCTTGAAAGGTAGCTTACATTTGAGGAGACCTGTTCCTTTTTTTGTAAATAAGATAGTTGACCTGATGGGATGTTAGTTCTACCTCTCTATATATATCAGCTATCTCAGTAAAAATCAGTGGTTCTGGTTCATTTGTCTGCTATACCCCTAGAGATGAGCAACATAAAGGGAACTTTTACACAGGCTCCAGGGCTGGGCAGGGAGGCAGTGTTTTAATTAAAAGGGCTCTAAGAGTGTATATATCAGTGTCCCTGCACTTAAAAATGGTGGCGGGGACCCTCGAACTAAAGCTCATTTAGTAAGCTTTAGTTCAAGTGCCCCCAGTGCCCTTTTTAAGCATGGGGACTCTGATACACAAGATGCAGGAGGCTACTGGGGCGCAGCAATTGCCACGCTCCATCAGACTCAATTAATCGAGTCTGCTCCAACACGCTGGAATTCTAGTATGTTGGAACAGCCTCCATGCTCAAGCATAGCTGCCCAAAGAAGCCACAACATTGCTCTATAGTCTTGCATTGCTGTCCCCTTGGAGTCATAGGCTGCTAGAAATGAATTGCAGTGCTTCTGATGATGCTCTAAATTGAGCAGTGACCAAAGTGGCCCAGAGAGATGCAGTATTAGGAAATGTAAAAGTGACCCAATATCTTTAACCCATGTTCAAAAAGTACACCCCTTATGAGGAAAGACTGAGGGTTATGAGGAAAGGCTGAGGGACCTGGTCCTCTTTAGCCTAAAGAAGAGAAGGTTGAGAGGGGACTTGATAGCGGCTTACCGCTATATCAGAAGAGTGCATCAGGAGCTCGGTGAACAACTGTTCACTAGGGCACCCCGGGGTAGACCAGAAGCAATGGATATAAACTCCAGGAAGGCCGCTTCAGACTTAATACCAGGAAAAACTTCTTCACAGTCAGGGTTACCAGACTGTGGAATAAACTCCCTCCAGAGGTGGTGCAGTCCCCTACCCTTGAGGTTTTCAAGAGAAGACTGGACAGTAACCTTGCTGGGGTCACTTGACCTCAGTTGTCTTCCTGCCTAGAGCAGGGGGGCCGGACCTGATGATCTGCAAGGTCTCTTCCAGCCCCTAACAATCTATGAATCTATAACCTGAGGTAGAGACGAATTACACAAGGAACACCACACATTGGGTATCTAGCCTTATTCTCTCCCAGCAAGTTCTGCCAATTCTGCCCTACCCATTCCCCACTTTGGAAATGTATTCCATGGAGAAAGTAATCCCCATCTGCTCTGAGAACAAGGATTGAAACTTCTTCCAGATCTTGCACAAACTTAATAAAAATAAGGTAGGACCATTCTGTTCTTTCTTCTTCAGCTACACACACCACAGTGATGGATGTTTTGTCTTCATGATAGCATGGAGTAAACTAAGCATAAAACAGGATCTAATCAGAATCTTGAAGCTGCTTCTGCCTTGTACCCAAGAAACGAATGCTTATTTTTAAGGAGAAATGTGGGAAGGAGCTTAAGTATGGCTTAAATATCACACAGCTGTAAGCTATTTTTCATCTTCTCTCTCAGGTATCCAACTGGCTGATATCTGCATCTAATGGAAAAGTCTTTACCCTCCTGCAGTTCAAAGAACTGGATATTGTTAGGACTTCCCTAAATTTAGACTGAGATCTTTCATATAAAATGTAGTGGTATTATTCTAAAAAACAGTCATGAGATGACTGGTGTTTGTTTTATATGGTAAAAAAGACAAATTATTATATTTTGTTGGTTTCAAAGAGGCTTGTTTTATAATTTTATAATATTTTAATTATAATTTTCATAATAATTCACATATTGACAGAGGAAAAAGTGGTGAAAATCATCTTCCCAGTTAAAGAATGAATGAACATGCATTATATTATTATCTTCTTATCGTGGGGTATTAAATTAACTCTGGATAGCAAAATTTTCCTTATGCATCCTACTGCCATCATTAGAATATGAATTACAAATGTGTAGAGATACCTAAAACTATTCTCCTAAGTGTTCTCCAGATTTCAATAATTCATTTTCTGCAGTTTTTCAATATAAAGACCTAATTTTCAAATAACATATACATTTCTCTCAGCACGAACCCCTACAAAACCTTCAACTATGGGTGCATCTTTATGAAATACTTACTGGGGGGTTACCTAATTAGCTTTGCAGTAAAGCGTCTCTGTCTACATAAACCGTGCTGTTAGGCTGGAGTAAACTAATTAATTCTGCCATACCGCTCAACACAAATATTATTCTGCAGCGAAGTAACTCCACTGTAGAATAGTACCTGTGTTGGGCAGTACTATCCTATGGTAGATTTATTTAGTCCACCGAAGCCCATGGGCTAAGTACAAACACATAAAAGCCCAAGGCTGAATCAATTCAGTCTTTGCAGGTTAGTCTAAACTGAGAAGCAGAGATTAAACTGAGAAGTAGGTAAACAAACATTCACTTTTGATTCAGGAAATGTAGCCACATGCCTGCAGTGGCTCAGGCCAGAAGCCAGGGGAGGAGGGGTGCTGGAGCATATCTCCCAGCCTGCCAGCCACTGCCAAAGGGAAAGGACTGAAGTCTGAGGCTTTTCCAAACTCCTTGCTCGAGTGGAAGGGGCATAGCCAGGCGGCTGTCAGTGGAGAGGGCCAGGTGCATGCCTCTGTTCTGGTGCATTAGGAGGGGCTAGAGCTGGTGGAGCAAGTTCCCGAAGGTGGCTACCTGTGGCTTTTCTTATACTTAAAACAAAGCTGCTATTCATTGTTCAGTTCCCACTCGTTGACACCTGCCTGCCACTCTTCCTGGCTAGCCTCTGGTGTGTTTCTTACTCAACCTGGGTGTTTCTCCTGGTCTCTAGCCGCAGATGCAGCCCTTAGGCTCTTCTCAGTTTTGTCCCCCTGCTCCCAGGGACTCTTCAGAAGCCTGCTTCCTGGCTGTCCTTGCCTGCCTTCAGTGTTCTCCTCCACACCATTCTTTTCCCCTCCAGGGCATGCCTCCTCACACCCTCCTTTCCCCAGCTCCGGTGTGTTGGGGTTTTTTTTCACTTTGCCCCGCCCCCTAGGCATTCGCCATGTCTCTGAGTTTCCCAACGTCTCTCTCTGGCTCAGGGCTTCTTCATGCTGAGCTCCATCAGCTCATCTGGAACTGGCACTCACTCCAGAACAGCCTCTTCCTCCCTGCCACCTCCCAGCTTCCTGATGCAAGTCCGGGAAGGACTGGTTTCCTTGCAGGGCAAACAGTCTCCAACCTTTGCTCTCCTTCAAATGAATGTATACATTAATGTTTTTTAAGAATATTGATACAGCTAAAGATGTTGCAAGAAGGCATTCTAAAATTAAAATCACTAATTACATGGTGAGGATGTTATGTTTATTAATAAAGGCACGCTTGAAAAACTATATATGGCCTTAATTGGCCCCTAAATTGACTGAAAGTTGTGAGGCAATCTGTATTTAGAATGGTTATGAAGCAACAAATATAATCATATCTGAACAACAATCAAGAAGGGAAATTGTGCATGCAAATGAAGCAATAATATAAGCACAAAAACTTTTTTATTACTGTATTTGAGACAAAGTTTAGTTTTGTAAGGAGAACAATATACATCACCTTAAAATTTGCTCAATCTTCTTTGATTTCATGAGAGTTATGCCTGAGGTCTGGAAGAAGAAAAAGACTTACTCATCTAAGATTAAAATGTAGTAATGTAACTTTAATTTTGTTCCACCCTGCTCTATTCTTGGCATAACAAACATCCTCAGGCACCAACCTCTCTACACAAATGGACATGGCTAAGTTCGATGCTAATTAGGAAAAATTATCCAATTATGGCTACAATTATGCTGAGCTGGTAAAAACTTTTTGCCATGGGTAGGAGGAACTTAGAAGGAAACACCCTAATAATTTTACATAAAAAGGCAAAGGAAACTGCTTGGCTTCGGAGCATTCTCAGTACTGGGTCTCCATTGCTAAATTTTGGTGACTTGCAGCATTGTCTGTGACTGATACTATGTCTGTTTGGCTTTCTAGTGGATCCAGGTGGATTTCCTCTCCTGCCTGTGGTGGAGGATCAGTTAAAATGACTGGCACAGGAGGAAGCTTTGATACTGGTAGTGTATGTGGTTTTGGTGGGGGCTCTCATCCAGGATTCAGCACTGGCTTAACCAGGGGAGCAGGTGGTGGCTTCAGTGGTGGCTATGGTGGTGGTTTCGGTAGCATCTCAGCTGGAGGAAGCTATGGAGGTACATTGTGTAGTAGTTCATTTGGGGGCTTGGGTACTGGCTTTGGTGGGGGCTTTGGTGGACCTGATAGCAACCTTCTTTCTGGTGGTGAAAAGGAAACCATGCAGAATCTTAACGATCGCTTAGCTAACTACCTTGACAAGGTGCATGCTCTGGAAGAGGCAAATGCTGATCTTGAATACAAAATCCATCAGTGGTATGAGAAACATGGTCCTGCTGCTGCTGAATTAACCCGTGATTACAGTAAATATTACCAAATAATTGAAGATCTTAGGAACCAGGTAATCATAATTTCTATCATTTTCAATGTTATGAACTTTACACACTTATACTACATCATGTTAAGTTGTAACTCATAACAAACAGAGTATATGTTATTATTAAGTGAAGAATTTTACTCAACGTATGTGAATGTTTGCTATTTTCTTTAAAGAATACTTAAAACATTTCACTTTTATGTGTATCAATCTACCAACTGATTTATACACATGCATATGCCCTGTTTATGAGGTATAATCATGTTATGCAATTTAAATTAAGATAATCATAATAGTTTCTGCTCTACAGTTGGGCATGTTCTGATTCTTAATGTCTGCATATGAAAAATCATTTGTTAAACTAGCAATGAAATATTTCATTTAAAGAAGAAATCATATCTTCCTTTATGCTCATGCAATATACAAACAACAATTTTAGACCCTGAATTTGCCCAGTTTTGTCTCCAAATTAACCAAAAAGGATATTTTGCATAGTTTTCATGCATGTATTGTCTCATTCTCTACAAACCTTTCTATCTAGATCATATCTGCAACTATTGGCAATGCCAGCATAGTCTTACAGATTGATAATTCCCAGCTTGCTGCTGAAGACTTCAGACTGAAGTAAGTTAAATAGCAAACATTTTTGGTAATGATGGTTTAGTAACAACTTCAGGCCATATTGTTGCCTCTGTGCTTAAGAATTCCACAGTGATTTCTGCTAAAGGCACCACATGGTGTTCAAAGCACTTTCCCTATAATTTTTTTGGCTTGACAAAAAAAATCTGAAGAACTGTCCCCAGAATCAAGAGTACAACATTAAAGCCACATATACAACTATAATTTTCACTATAGCTATATTCTCATTTAAAAAACGTTGGTAACTTTTGCCGACCACAAAAAATTATTTTAATATTATAAAAGCCTTAGTCTGTCTGTCCCAAACAGCGTGCTCCGAGAGCATTCTGGACAGGAGACAGCAGCAGCACGGCAGAGTGGGGGAAGGAGGGGGGCCAGCAACACTGGCCTTGCCCCCTGCCCCCAGCCCTGCTCCCTGCAGGTTGCGGCAATGGAGCGGGGGGGTGAGGCCAGCACTGCTGGCTTCACCTTCCCCCCAACCTGGACCTGTTCCCTGCAAGCGGCAGGAGCATGGGGTGCTTGCCAAGGGAGACAGAGGGGAGACAAAGGGGATGGCGGGGCAAGCTCCCCCCCCCCCCCCCCCGGGAGATGGTGGTGGCATGGGGTGGTGGCACTCCATACCCCCACCACTATTCCTGATGGACAGTTGGATAGTAGAAAGATAAAATCATATTCTGTACAATAAATAACAAATGGATTATTTTCATACCTTCTCTACTGAAACATATACACTAGTGTTGAAATAATTAAAACACTTTCACATTATGTTTTCTTGCCTGGAAAAAATGCCTTTTCTTCCTTTTTCTCCCCTTCTTTGTTTTCTCATATTCTTAATATTTTTAAGGTATGAAAATGAGCTGTTCCTGCATCGAAGTGTTGAAGCCGATAGCAATGGTTTGCGGAGAGTCCTAGATGACCTGACTATTGCTAAATCCAACCTGGAAGCACAGCTTGAAAGTCTGACTGAGGAGCTGGTGTATCTTAAGAAGAGCCATGAGGAGGTAAAAGCTTTGCTTTCCTTATGCAAATACCAATTGCAGTCCAACTCTCATTTGTGTTGATATGGAGTCTTTCTATTGACTTTGATGGGATTTGGATCAGGTCATTACAGTAATGTAACCTCTAGATAGGGATGCTTGCATTGTTATGTAATAGCGCTTGACATAGTTATAGTAGCAATCAGTAAATTAAGGTTTAGGACCTTCCAGCATCTTTTGTCTAAAAGAAGCAAATTATTTAAAATTTGACTCGTTTTATGAACCATTGTCAAAACAATAAATAATGTAAAGTGGTTTAATTTCTCCCTGTTTCTTCTTTAATTGTAGTCAATTTAAAAATCAGAATTAATTAATCAATTAATTAATTATACTTGACTATTCTTTAACCAGGAAATGAAATCCCTGAAAAGTACTTCCACAGGTGATGTGAATGTAGAAATTAATGCTGCTCCAGGAATTGATCTGACTAAACTTCTGAATGACATGAGAGCACAGTACGAATCCCTGGCTGAACAGAATCGTAGAGAGGCTGAAGAACAGTTTAATAAAATGGTAAAAATGTGAAAGATGTCAAATCTTCTTATTGCATATTCAAACCCAAGGATTTGTTGTATCACACTGTATTCACTTTATTGTTTATGAATTTTCCAGAGTCAACCACTGCAGAAACAGATCTATGATGATGCTGGGGCAGTAAGCTCAGCCACGAATGAGTTAACTGAAATGAAACGCACTATCCAAGGACTGGAGATTGAGCTACAAACAGTTATGGCCCAGGTTTGTAACAGGTGTCATTTCAGGAAGCAGGTGCATGACATTTTTATTTTTATAAAAAACTGTTATAATGCACAAAACAGCTTTGCTGATTAGTGCTTTATTAAATAAAGACATCTTGCATTTAAAATATAATAACTTCTGTTTTCACAATTCAACTGTATTTAACACCCCCCCAGGCAAACTTAACTCCTAAATGAAGTACTAATGCCTGTAAAAATGGGAAATAATGGCTCTGAGTGTATGGAAATTAAAATAAACTAATTTATTTCAAACACTGTCCAAAATAATTCATAAAATTGATATCAACCAACTCAAAGGAGACATTATGTTACAAGATGTCACCCTCATTCCTTGCCACCCTCATTCCTTCCTGCAACTTTAATTTATGTCAGTAGGATTTTTCTGGCACAGTGCATATCAATCAAATGGGAAAAGCATATAGGGATAAAGTGAGATAAGAAAGAAGAGAAAACTATGAAGAAACATTTGTAAACTAATAGTCAGTCAAGATAATGTATTTTGGAGTCTGATTAAGTGTCATAACTAGATGAAAACATTTATTCTACATCTTGGGCTTAACTAACTTTAACCTTCATTTGATACTCAATGGAGCATTTAATCTTCATCAATAACATGTCATTTTTATTCACTAATAGAAATGCTCCCTTGAAGGCACCCTGGCAAGAACTGAAGAAAATTACAGTGCTCAGCTTTCACAAAGACAGCTGCATATTAGCAATCTGGAGGAACAATTACAGCAGATCAGGTCTGAAATGGAGTGTCAGAATGCTGAATATGAACAGCTCCTGGGCATCAAAATACGTTTAGAGATGGAGATTGAAACCTACAAGCGCCTGCTAGATGGAGAAGGAGGGTAAGCAAACAAAATTATATGAATGCATCTTGAAAAGTGGAGCACCATAAATAATAAATATTACCATACCTTTATTACAGGTTCTGTTCCTATAAAGAGAAATCTTGTAACATGCTAAACAGTCCATTAGGGTGCATCTACATGTGCTATTAATGCTATAGAGCAGGGGCAGGCAATTATTTTGGTTGGAGGGCCCCTTAACGAGTTTTGGTGTGCTGTCGAGGGCCGTAAGAGTGGCCCTGGCCCTGGATCTTGACAAGCACCCTGCTCCCTGGTAACCATCTTGGGACCAGAAATCCTACCCCCTAACCTCTGACCTTTGCCATCAGAAGTCCCTCCTCTTGCCCCTGGAATAACTCCTTTTGGGAAGGGGGTTTGCCATATTGAAACCGGAAAAAAAACAACCAAATTATATACTAAAAATCAAACCTCCACAATAACATATTTAAATTTTATTTTTTAGAAATAGTTTTGCCCTGATTTGTGTGTGTTTGCATTGTGTATATAGAGGTGATCGCATACTAGCTCAAAATGAAGTCTTACTCTTGTATATTGTAGGAGGTGTGAAGGGGTAGGGGGTATGGGGTTTGTGGGGGGCTGTGGTTGTGTGTATGTGTGGATGTGCGTGTATGTTGCATGTGGGAGTATGTGTGGATGTGGGTAGGTGCGTGGGTATGGGAGGTTTGTGTGGGTAGGTATGGAGTGTTTGTGTGGGGGGGTATTGTGGGGGGTGTGTGTGTGTGTGTGTGTGTGTACCAGTGAGTGGGGCTCCCCCCAGAGGCACACAGGTGTGTGTGTGAGGGGTGTGGAATTTGTGGGGGGTGTGAGTGGGTGCATTGTTTGTGGGGTGTGTGATTGTGTGTTGGGAAGGGTGTGGTTTGTGGGGGAGGTTTTGAGTGTATGGTGGGGTGTGCATGGGAGCCCCCCGCACATGCCCCTGTGAGCCAGTCAACACTCATCCCCACCCCCACCCCACAACAGCTTGGAACCTGCCAACAGCATACAGCCCCATCCCACCGGTACCGGTGGTACCAGTGGGGACCCATGTGCATAGCTCTGACCTGGTGTGCTTCACACCTGCTCTGGACTCACCTGTCCAGGCTCAGCAGCAGCAGCGGCAGTGGGCAGAAACTATTGCTCCGCACAGAGGAAAAGTGGCCCCTCCCCCTCACCACTGTCGGGCAGTTCTTGGTGCAGCTGCCCAAAGCCCACACTGTGCTGGGCTGCCCTGCTGTCACCACTGCCTGTAGGCTATCCAGTGCAGCAGCAGTGACAGTGCACAGTAGCTACAGGGCAACCTGGGCAGTGGTGACGCAGGGCAGCCTGGCATGGTGCAGGATCCAGGCAGCTGTACCAAGAACTGCCTCGCAGCAGCAAGGGGAAGAGGCTGCATTTCCCTCGTGCTGAACAACAGTTTCTGCCAGGCAGCTACCACTGCTGAGCCTGGGCAGGTGAGTCCAGAGCAGGCACAGGGCATGCTGTGTCAGGGCTATGTGCGTGGGTCCCCGCTGGTACCATGGGGCTGGGGCCGGCGGTGGTGGCAGCCAAAAGGAGCCGCCACTGCCTAGGCTGCCTAGAAAGGCAGTCCAGCTGCAGAGCCGCACCACACCTGCTGCTCCCCAGGGGGCAGCAGGACATGCCACACCTGGGTGGCGCCTGGGCCAGGTGGGACCAAGGGACCAGCCGTGAGCCGGACAAAGCCTCTCCATGGGCCAAATCTGTTCCACAGGCCGATTTTTGCCCACCCCTGCTATAGAGCAAGGGCAGGCAACATATGGCTTGTGGGCCAGATTTGGCCCATCTGGCCATTCTATCTGGCCCATAGAGCCCCTCCAAAAGACAATTATTACTGGCCCACAGCTGCCCCTCTGAAAGCCAGTGGGAGGTGCAGGCTTTCAGAGGTGCCAACTGCAGGAGGTGCGGGCTGCAGCAGCAGCTCTGGCTCTGGCTGCTAAGCAACCAACCCCCATCCGAGCCTGGCCTAACCTGCCCTGCCCCAGCCCCAAGGTAGGGAATGCTGGAGACAAAGCTTCTGCCAAGCAGAGGCTTCTACCTGGTGACCCTGTGGTTGTTTCCCAGCCCTCCTTCCCTGTGAGAGTCAAACTTAAGGTAAAGGCCCCAGAGACTCCTGTTTGGAGAAAGTTGGGGGAAAGTGGGGGAGCAGTGGGTGATCGCCCCTCTCTGTGCCACACATGCAGCTCGTGGGACTCTACCCAGGGACTGCAGGAACAGCATGCCATTGGTCCAGGGCATCTCTGTGTCTCCACCTGTGGCTCCCAGCTAGAGTGCCGGGAAACCTACGTGGCGGCACAGAGCTGGCCCTGCCCAATTGCGTGAGGCTCCCCACAACTCCTGGCACTGCAGGAGCTGCAGGACCCACACATGATCAGGTCAGGCCAGTTCCATGCTACTACATGCAGATCCCAGCACTACATCTAGGAGCCACACACCATTGGGCATTGGCAGGCTAGCTCTGTGCCACCAGATGGGGATCCCAGCACTGTATCCAGAAGCCACATGCCATTGGGCTAAGCCATTTCTGTGCCTCCATGTGCGGCTCCCCACTGGAATGCTGGGAGCCCCATGTGGAGGCATGGAACCAGTCCGGGCCAAAAGTATGCTGCTCCTGGCACTCCAGTGGGGAGCCTTGTGTAATCAAGCCAGGCCAGGCTGGCTCTGTGCCACCAGATGGGGCTCCCAGCCCTGCAGCTGGGAGCCGTGCACCATCAAGCCAGGCTGGGTAAGTCCAGCTCCATCCCACCATATGGAGCTCCCAGCACTGCAGCCAGGAGCCACATGCATTTAGGCCAGGCAAGGCAGGCTCTGTGCCTCCACATGTGGTTCCCAGCTGGAGTGCCAGGAGTCCGACATGGAGGTATTGAGCAAGTCTAGCCTGATGGTTCATGGCTCCCCACAGCTCTTGGCACTCCAGCTGAGAGGCTCTGCCTGCCACAGACCATGAGCAGCCCCAAGGGCCTGCCACCTGCTGCTACTGCTGATGCCAGCAGTGAGGGTGATGTGTGCGTGTGGGGGGAATGAGGGGATGTGGGTATGGTGAAGTGTGTGTGTGGGTCCCCCCGCACACCCCCCATGGCATACAGCCCCTGCCACTAGTGGCAGCAGCAGCAGCAGCAGGTGGTGGGCTCTTGGGGCATTCATGGCCAGCGCAGACAGAGTCCCCTGGCTGAAGTGCCAGGAACCACAGGGAACTGTGTGCAATCAGGCAAGGCTGACTTTGTGCCTTCACTTGGGACTCCCAGCACTGTAGCCGGGAGCTGGAAGTAGAGTCACAGAGCTCACCTGGCCTGGTCTGGCGCAATCACATGCAACTCCCACGGCTCCTGGCTGCACTGCTGGGAGCCCCATCTGGTGGCATGGATCCAGCCCAGCCTGATGGTGCATGGCTCTCCACCAGAAGCAGGACAGCTCCCAGCCAGCCCCTGGATGTGCAGAGAAGCACAGAGCTCCCCAGTCCCAATGCTGCTTGGCTCAAGCCAGAAGCTAAGCAGCACTGGGATAGGTGGGGGGCAGAGAGCTATCCCATCCTGGCGCTGTTCGGCTCCCAGCTCCTGTGAGGAGCCAAGAGCTGAGTAGCACCAGGACCAGAGGAGTTCCCTGTCTTCTGTGGCCCCTAGTGTTGGGGATGACAGGGAATACATTTGTTCCCAGTCAGCATCTACCCATGTGCTACTGCACAGTATCTACTGTGCAGTTAGTTTACTACCTGTATTTACAAGTAATAGCTCACTGCACAGTAGACTAATTTACTGCACAGTAAATGGTGTGCATGTGTAGACGGGGACGCTTTACTGTGTAGATTAGTCTACTGCACAGTAAAGCATCTCGTGTAGACACATTCTTACAGTGCTAAAAAACTATAATTCCCAACAACATCCATGGAAGTGGGAGGCTTTCAATAACTTGCAACACTGAGGAGCACTTTGAAGACCTGAGCCCACTGTTAAAATACGACCCTTTTAGTTTCTAAAAGGAGGGGGGGGGTTACCCTACCAGCACCAGAAACCTGATCTTCCAAGAATATGAATAATAATTCCCTCAATTCCAACTGATTTCAATTTGAACTAAGGTCAATGAACATTTAAAAATTCTGGGCCTTGTGTGTCAAAATAATATCTACTAAAAGATTATTTTTTTCCCATTGCACATTTTTTTCCTTAAATGATCTTAAGAAATAAAAATATTTGCAATGCTCTGCTGTGTGATCTAAAGCACTAATGCAACAAATATAGAACTCAGCCTTTTCATACATTTCTAAACAGTGTAAGTGAATTTAAAATACTGGATCAATTCCTTGTTCTGTCTCAGCATCTGCAAATGTTATAGAACTTTATTTAATGTGCAGCTTCAAATATTTGAAAATGGCCACACTAAAAAGGAATTTATCATAAAAGTATTAATTTTTACCAGTTAACAATAAGAAGCCAGCTAAAAGTTTGATATGCATAACACAATAAAACACACCATCATAATATAAACAATTGCTTGTTTATTCTCATTAAACACATTTTGGTGAAATCCATTATTTACCTTTTTACATAGCACAAAAAAACTATCCAACAGCTCTCAAAGTGTACTAGTAGTTCTAATGATTACAAAATAGACATTGTCACCTGCCATGCTGTTTCCAGAAAGAGACAACAAACTTAGTTTTGAAACCAGGATTCTGATCTCCTAGAATTCTAGCAGTACTGTAACTAATGAGTATTGATTATTTTTAACAGTGGTTTTGGATCTGGAGGTTATGGACACCAAGAATCAAGAGTTCAAATCAAAGGTAATTATATACATTCCTTTTTTTTCTTCTGGTGTAAGCTGGTATTACATGGATGTAATAATGCACATTGTAAAATCAATCAATTTCCCCATGCTGTAAACAAACTTTGAGCTCATGGTAACAAAAGATTTTTTTATAACCATACAAACTGGTTAAGGACCAAAAATTCTTATTAACCTCAAGGGACACTGAATCAGGACTTTGTTCCTTATACTGTGTTAGCATTCAACCACAACAAAATTCTGAAAGATCCTGGTGAGATACAAGCACCTTCAAATCCCATTTAGGTCCAAAGGAGACATTCAGAAGTCCAAAGGACTGAGTTAAGATATTGGAAAAGAATTCATAATTCAGAATAAATAAAATGGCAGATTTTAATCAATACTGCTACTGGGGTTAGTGTTTTGACACCTTTTTCATGTTGGTAAGTAACTTTGCAAACACCCATAGAGCAGCCAAAAATACAACTGAAGTTCTTAAACATATAAAGCATTTCCCAGGAAAGTTTACAGTGTCATAAGGCTTAACATCCTATATTTATTTTATAGGATCAGAATTTTTACTTTATGTGACTTTTTCTTTTAATATCTTGATGGAGATTACTGTCAATATTTTATTTTTAGAACCATATAAAACTCAAGTGATTAAGACAATTGTTGAAGAGTTGGTGGATGGCAAAATAGTCTCATCTGAAGTCAAATCAGTTGAAGAAAAGCCAGTTAAATAAACAACAAACTGGAACAGAGGACCTTTTATAGATGCCAAAAGACAGAGCCAAGAACAAGAAAGACTTCTGGACAAATGCTGAATTTTAAGTGGTTTAATAGTTTCATGCCTTAAAACTGAGGGGTGTAGTTAAAGTTTATTTTCTTTTTGTTCTTGCTTTGCTGAGGTGTACACTTCATAGATACTGAAAGTGCATTCTATTTGATGTTCATTTTTCAATAAATTTGTTAAAAATGGTTATTTGATTTTCAAAATTTAAAGATAATCAGGACTAATGCAAATAATTATCATTACATTTTCTGATTATCTTTAAATTTTTAAAATCTTTTCCTGATTGTCAAACATCTGTGAAATCTAAGCAAATTTTGATTTTTGAACTCTGAAACTTATACTAATGATACTCAAAAGCTCTAAGCAACTGATTGAGCAGAAAGCAAAGTAGAAATGCACCTTATAGACTAATTCAGGTGTGTTAAACATATGGCCTATGGGGTTGGTCTGGCAAGCAGAACCATTTCATCTGGCTTGCCAGTAGTCCTGTGAACTACTAGAAGTTGGGGGGCATTGCTTGCTGCAGAAAGGGATCTCAGGACCCCAATGGACATTGCCACCAGTGGCAGCTCCCAAGCTCTGGGCTGTCACCCACTTGCAGGCTGCCACTGCCACAAGCCTCCGGGTCTCCGCACCCATGCTGATGCCCAAATGCAGCCCCACACCACAACCTGCCCCCAGACCCACACTGCTGCCTGGCCCAAAGCCCTGGCCCCACACTGCCACCTGAACAGGATCCCATTGCAGTGCCCAGGGATCTAGCCCAGGAGGAGCCCCTGCAGTTCAGATGAGTCTGGGATGGCCTGGGATGAGTTTGATACCCATGAACTAACTGAATCAGAGATGCACAAGCTTTCATGAACAAGGATTTGCTTCATCATATGCGTAAGTGAGCTCTCCCTTATCACAGCTTGTGTGTCGCTCATTCAGTTAGTCTATAAGGTGCATCTCTATCCTGCCTTCTGCCTGACTTTAGACTAACACAGCTAACCTCCTGTATCTGATTTATTATTATACAAAATATAACATATTAATATGAGAAAATTAAACTCTCGTGATTTTCTACAAAGATAAACAAGAGCAGTTAATTTTTTCAGCGACTAGGCTGTATTTTATATCATTGGGACATATATATCTATGCACTTTTAAAAATACCACTAGATGCCTGTTTGCATCTTCAAGGAAGGCCTTCAATACGGCATCCCACCCCATACTGGTGAACAAGTTAAGAGGCTGTGACTTGGATGACTGCACGGTCCGGTGGGTGGCGAATTGGCTAGAGGGTCGTACCCAGAGAGTCGTAGTGGATGGGTCGGTATCGACCTGGAAGGGTATGGGCAGTGGGGTCCCGCAGGGCTCAGTCCTTGGACCGATAGTCTTCAATGTCTTCATCAGCGACTTGGACGAGGGAGTGAAGTGTACTCTGTCCAAGTTTGCGGATGACACAAAGCTATGGGGAGAAGTGGACACACTGGAGGGCAGGGAACAACTACAAGCAGACCTGGACAGGTTGGACATATGGGCAGGAAACAACAGACTGCAATTCAACAAGGAGAAATGCAAAGTGCTGCACCTAGGGAGGAAAAATGTCCAGCATACCTACTG